CAAGAAGTTTTTACACTTCCTTGTTAATAAAGTCTTAATACTTTCCTTAAAACAACTTGAAATATGACTTCAAGAGTCACTTCTACCCTTCCCCTATTGTGTATAAACCTCTTCACTTAAAAACTTGACTTCTAGTAACCAAGAAAAGTCAAGTAGTACCTTTGATATCAACAGTAAGAAAGTTCTCAAAGGAAGAAGAACTGACTGTAAAGTACCTAAGAGTCTTTCTAACCTTTGAAGTGAGAGGTTTATAGAGGTTTTCTGCAATAAAAAGGCTTATTTTCTTTCTTTTTGACTGTCTTGATCCTCTTAGAGCTCTCATGTTTATGGTTTTCTAGGAAATTTTGCCTACTTCAGTTTGACCCTAAATTTTGAGTAGTACAAATTCTCATCAAAGGTGATTGGTTGATATGAAACATATCAGTTTTTCGAATGTAAACAAGCTCTTATTGGTCCATTTACATGTCTCGATACATCATAAGTGATATAGGAAAGAAAGTTCCAGAAAAAGTGTTTCCTCCAATCATGTATATTCAACCTCCAGAAAACAATTATGATACTGAAAAATGAGCAACAGGTAGAAATAGAAGATTCAACTCTCATCTCTCATTAAATTCCTCAGGTAGTGAAAAAACTTTCTTGAATAAAAGCTGAGGTTTTCAAGCTTCTATACCAGTCAGGTAAAGTTTTTGAAAAGACTTCTTTATTCCAATTAGGCAAACTTTTTCTTAATATGGCACTGGTCTCACTAGCAATAAATGAATCCATATATTAGCAGAAGGATAAGTTTCTCAAATGTTCTTTTTGAAGTCACTTTCAGGAATAGCTAAGTTTCTTAAATGTCATGAAACTTAGAAAATATTCCAATCAGGCAAATCTCTTTCAAGAAAAAATTGTGAAATGAAGCAAGAACCTTTTGAAGGGCTTTGAATTTTATTTTCTCTTTCCTTTTCCTCAATGCCAACTTTAGCAATTCATCATTTTTCGGGATAATCTATAGTGACAAACTATTGGCAATGACCCTGGTTGACTTAGAGGCACTATTGCCAAGCTACTAGGAAAGTAAAATATTATTTCCTAAATCTAACTTAGATATCTAGTTTAAACTTAGTTTTGTTTAGTCCAAACTAGCTTAGTTGACTCCTCATATTTTTTAAGTAGTGTAGTCCTTTAACTAATAATGTACAATGATAAGTTAGTTGCTTTGTGAAAGTCAGTAAAATATTTAGGTATTTCTCAATATCTCAATAAAGACATGCCATTATGGCATGATTGCGGGTTAAAAAAAAAAAAAAATAATAATAATAATTTTATATTTTATATTTCTTATTTTCTAATATAGTTTTTTATTTTATTCAAAATTATAAAAAATATTTATTTAATAATAATATAATTTATTTATTAAAAGAGTATTGATCCAAAATATTTATATAACTTCATATTGTTTTTATAATAAAACTTAAAAAATTCAACTTAAGATAAGTTGTTAATAGAAGGTTTAATTTAATTTGAATTCTATTCATATAATATACAGTATTTTGTATCAAATAATATATTGATATCATAAATATACAATATATTATCAATCTGGTTTAATGAATCTATTAGAAAATTTTCTACTTGAATTAATCATAGAGTGAAAAATAATTTTCAAAGTTGTATCTATAGTTTAGATTATCTAAGATGAGTGTATTGAATAAAAGTAAATAATTATACTTTATAAAGTTTTAAGATTCAAGTTTAAATTAGTTTAGTGTAGTTTAAAATAAATTTCGAGTTTGTGATGAATTTATTTTGTTGTTATTTTATAATATGCGAATAAAAATTTAAAAGTTGAACAAGCGACAATAATAGTTATATCTGAAATTTTAACATAAAAATGAGATGTATATGAGATGCATTTTGACATTTGCGAGATGATAACTTATAAGTAAAGTCTTTAGCTTATCACTCTATAAATCTGGTCACATAATTGTGCCTCACTTTCTACGCCGATATCAATATCCTCCAAGAGACCTGTACCGAGATCGTAAACCCACCCATGAACTTTAAGCTTATTGCCACTTGCCCATGCACGTTGAACAATACTAGTGGCAGAGATATTATAAACTTGTTGTTTGACGTTTAATCTCACCAGCAACCCATTACGTTCTTCCTCTGAAAGTTCGCTTGTAAATAGTTTTTTGTTTTTCCAGTATACATCTTTGAGGTTACAAAGCCAATTGTCAACAATTCCAAATTGCTTATTTGTCATTGAAGCGGCAACACCACCACAACCATAATGTCCTAAATTTGTTTTGGAACATTAGCAACATGTTATCCGACCTAGAAATAGAAAACTGATAAAAATAAGCAGGGAAATTTACCACAGACAATAATATGTTCGACTCCTAAATGTTCGACGGCGTATTCCAGCACCGATAAACAATTCAGGTCCACGTGGTTAAATTGATTGGCGATATTTCTATGAACAAAAATTTCACCGGGTCCTAGTTGAACAATCGTCTCAGCGGGGACACGGGAATCAGAACAACCTGTAATTCAAAAATATATTTTATATAGAATCTATGGAAACAAATTTTATATAATAAATTTGCTAACCAATCCAAAGAATATGAGGTTTTTGAGACTTGGCATGTTCAGCAAAGAAGTCTGGCTTTTGAGCTGTGATGGCATTAGCCCAAATTTTGTTCATGCGGAGCAATTCTTCGAGGTTTTCACCGACATCAGAAAACTTGGTAGGAAGAGGAATGATGAGGTCTTGGGTACTAGGCACTTTGACCACAACTGAATAATTTAATTGGTGATTATATTTAACATTTGATAGTACAAAGAATAATAACATTAAACTATAAGCGTTATTTTCACATACGCTCAGTTCCCTCGGAATTTGAGCGTTTAATAGCGGCTTTTTTATTTTCTTCCGTCGGTGCTTCTGAGTTTGAAAATTCTTCCATTTTGACAGTTCTTTTCAGTTTGGAATTTTGCATCCATTTTTAAATTAATTGGTGTAATGTCCATCGGGCTGGATTTCTCTCTGCATCTAATTTAATTGTTGTGTGACACAATAAACCGTCTTTTGTTAGTTAAAGAAATTCGTTTTAGCCAAGAATATAGGATCCTCCCGACTTTTTTAGTTGATAGGCTATTAAGGGAAAAAATGATTGCCAATCAATGACACGATTACGGAAGCTTTGCCTTTAGTAGATTTTCTTATTATTATATTTAAAAACCATTTACTATATTATATAAAATTGAGTTCATAAATTAAAATTATTTTTACAAATAATTTATTAAATCAAGCTGATAAAGACTATTTATTATATTAATTGATAATTTAATATAAAGTATACTTAAGTATCGAATATACAATATGATACAAAAGTCTTTACCCAAATTTCAACTTATAATTTTTATTTATAACCTGATAATCAATAAATAAAATAAAATTGCTAAAGAAAAATTTTTTATAAATATTTTAAAAAAATTATAAATATTTAATTTGAAAATAAAGAATTGATTTTTTGATATCTAAATTTTTATTGTATATTATAAAATAAAATAAATAATTTAATTATAAATATTTAATAAAAATTTTTTTATAAATTAAAAAATTTTTTCTTGATTTTATACTTAAATTTTTATAAAAATTTATTATATTAAACATTATATTTTTTACTATTTTTTATATATAAATTCTATATATAAAATTTGTCAATAGAATAATATCTATTTTTTTATTATTTTAAATTGATATTTTATAATAATAATTTAATAAAACTTTAAATATATAATCAAGATAATTTTATAATAAAAATAAAAAGTATTCATCCAAAGACTTTTGCATCAAACTATATATATAGTTTAAATTAAATAGAAATTATTTTAAATAAATCTATTTTAAATTTATATTTTAAATTTACCTATATAAATATTTTAAATATTTATGTTTTTAATATTTTATATATAGTTAATTAATTGTTATTGAAAAAAATAAAAAAATTATTTTTTTATAATATTTTAGTTAAATTAAATTATTAAATTATTAATAATATAAATATATAAATATATTTTTATTTGAGCAAAAAATAAATTATTATAAAACCTCTTTTTGTTAATTCTTTGACTATGCACAAAAAAAATATTTATAAAATAAAGTCTTGATACTTTTCTTAAATCAATTTGAAGTTTGGTTTCAAGAGTTATTTTTGTTCTTTTTCTATTATTTATAAATTCCTTTATTTAAAAACTTGACTTCTAATAGTAAAAAAAAATTAAGTAATATTTTTAATACCAGTAATAAGAATTAACTATAAAGTATTTGAAAATCTTTTCTAACTTTTAAAGCAAAAGGTTTATAGAAATTTTATTGTAGTTAAAAATTTTATTTTTTTTTTTTTTGAATTGTCTAGTGCTTTTAAAGCTTCTATTTTTATGGTTTTTTGAAAAATTTTTCTACTTCAATTTAATTCTAAATTTTTGATAATACAAATCCTTATCAAATATAATTGATTAACATAAAATGTATTAGTTTCTAGAATATAAACAAGTTCATGTTGATTATTCTTATATATTTCAATAATATTATTAATTATTTAAAAAAATATTTTAAAAATATTTACTTTTAAAAGCTTAAGTTTCTTAGTTAAAATATCTATAATACAAAAGAATTAAGTAATAAATAATATAAATTATAGATTTTCATCTCTTACTTAAATTTTTTAGGTATTGATAAAGCTTTAATGAAAAAGCTAAAATCTAAATACTTTTTTTGAAATATTTCAATTTAATGCTCACTTAAATAAAAAATTAATTGGATTTACTTATTTAATACTACAGATAATAACAAAAAAGATTTCTTTTAAGGTTCTAATAAAGCAAAAAGACTATTTTAATCAATCAGATCTCTTTTTAAAAAAAAATATATTTTTATTTATAAACCTTTTTATTAAGTTTTAAATTGTTCTCTTCTTTTCTTTTATTTTTTTTTATTTTTTTTTAACTTAGCAATTTATTAATTTTCAGATCAATCAATAGTAACAAATTGTTAGCAATAATTCTAATAGATAAAGATTATAATCAATTTATTAATAAAATATAATATTGTCTAAAATTTAACTTAGAATACTTATATATGAAGATAAGTTAGTTATATTGCAAAGGTCTATAAACTATTATAAATTTTGTTTTAATTTCTCAATAAAAATAATTTATTATAGTATAATTGTGAATTAAAAAAAAAATATTAAAAGCTATATATAATATATCAGATAAGCTAAATATAGATTTAATATTAACTAAAAAAACTCTTTCCGCTGATTCTCTGATTACACACAAAAAAGATATTCGCAAGAAGTTTTATACTTCTTTGCTAATAAAGTCTTTACATTTTTATTAAAACAATTTGAAGCTTGTCTTCATATATCTTTCTTATCCTT